AATATATATACTAGAATATGATTATTATAAACTAGAATATATATACTGGAATATGATTATTATAAACCTAGTGTCAGATTTAAATGATGAAATCATTCTGGTTTTATTGATGTGAGTTTTTAGCGGGACGGTGACGTCAATCTGTCTTTCTGTTGGTCGGACAACCACTTCTGAAATATCTCAACTATTTGATGGATCGTTCAGTCAGGAACTCTCGTCATCCATTTATTGCAACAAATAGAAATACAGTTCGACTCGCTCTTAAGATGCTCCTTGGATTTAGCCGAGCAGCTAGGAAGCCAGAACAGGGCGTGGGTCTACAGGAATGAGGCTGAAGTCAACTTTGAATATTTCAACCATTTGCAATGTGAAATGAACAGAACTAGAAGAGAGTGGAGGAGGCAAAGCTCTGCCAGCAGTACGGTCTGTAACAGCATTGCTGTAGAAAGGATGAATGAGGAGGGAGTCTGTTTAAATGAATGTCTTTAAGGTGACAGAGGGCTGTGATTCATACATTCATGGTTCCCAGAGGATTGATCATGATCACTTTTCACCCCAGCAGCAGGTTCAAAGTTGTGCTTCTACGTGAACAACTGTTGGATGGATTGATCCCCTCGGGTCAGAATCAGAATCAGAACCGTTTATTGCCATGGTATGTTGAACATACAAGAAATTTGGCGTGACGGGAGGTGCAAACATTTAACAATCAACAACAATCAGTGCAAGTAGAAACATATTCAAATTTACAAGAGATATAAAATAAAGTACGATATAAAATAAAGTGAAATCTAAAATAAAGTGCACAAACGAACAGACGACAGGACTATAAACAAGTGAGATGTAAGTGTGGTGTAAAGTGTCGAGTGTAATAGAAGGGATGCAGGGGAGTGACCGGTAGGAATTTGTCCTGGGGATGACAGAGTCAGTGGGGGTCCCGGGCTCTGTTAATGAGCCCGACTGCGGACGGGAAGAAGCTGTTTGTGTGGCGTGAGGTCTTGGTCCTGATGGACCTCAGCCTCCTGCCAGATGGAAGGGGCACAAACAGTTTTTGTCCAGGGTGAGAGGGGTCGGCTAAGATCCTTCTTGCTCGCTTCAGGGTCCTTGAAGCGAACAAGTCTTGGAGGGAAGGCAGATTGCAGCCAATCACCCTCTCGGCAGAGCGAATGATGCGCTGCAGTCTGTCCTTGTCCTTGGCAGTGGCTGCAGCGTACCAGACTGTGATGGAGGAGCAGAGGATGGACTCAATGATGGCTGTGTAGAAATGCGCCATCATTGTCTTTGGCAGGTTGAATTTCTTCAGCTGCCTCAGGAAGTACATCCTCTGCTGAGCCTTATCAGTGATGGAGCTGATGTTCAGCTCCCACTTGAGGTCCTGGGTTATGGTGGAGCCCAGGAAGCAGATAGTTAAAGTCCATTCTTGTCTCCGCCTCCTTCTGCATCGCTCAACCTGAACCTCATCTCACCTCAGGTCTCCTTTCAGGGACGCATCACTGGAACTATGTGTTCTTATAAACACTGACAGACTGGTGAAAAAGAATGGAGGATAAGGGCTCTTCAGTGCAGTTCAAATCTGTCTACATAGAAAAAAAGAAACTATTTGAAAGGTTTTGAGCAGTTTAACATCAGTTAAACATTTGATCCACAGAAACAAACAGTGTGTGATTTAGTTGTTTCTGTTTCTTTTCTCTGTGGATCAGGACGAACACATGAAGCTCCTCTGATCACCTGTGAGGTGAACATGTTCTGCTCTTGATTATTCATCACAGATCAACTCAAAGTCATTTCCTGAAAGGACTCTGTTTACCACGCGTACCTGTCGTGCCACCTGTTTCACTCAGTGAAGCGGACTTTCTTGTTGAGATCAACATGACGGAATGTTGATCGTCTCTAACTGGCCGATCCAGTTTGCCTCCACTCAGTGTGTTCCTGGAAGATGAACAATAATCCCCAAAAATCCCGTCAACCATTACGTCAGTTCAGGTATCTGCATCCAAAAACAAGCCAACGGCTGCACATACGAGGCCTCTTAAAGGTGTTTCTTCTGTTAATGTTATTGAATGATCAACAGAATAATCAATGTGAAACCAGGTTGGATCAAACAAACCAGGTCAGAGGGTCTTCCTTACTTCCTCCCCTCCTTACTTCCTCCCCTCCTTACTTCCTCCTCCCTCGCTCTGACCACACCCATCTTCAACCCGACCTTAGTCTTGATCTCAGCGACGCGCCTGGAAAGTTTCCTGATTGCATCTTAAACGGTTGTAACTTTATCGAAGCCACACAATCTGTCCACAGACTGCAGCAGGTCACATGTCCTCATCCTGACGCCACGCTGATGCTTTTCATCATTAGTAACTCAAACCAGGTGTAAAGGTTCCACATAAACACAGTGAATGGTTAAAGGTTCTACATAAACGGGGCGACCGTGGCTCACTGGGTTAAGAGGGTTGTCTGGTAACCGCAGACACTGAACCCCCGGCTCCCCGGGCGCCTGTCATTGGCAGCCCACTGCTCCCTATATACAGGAAATATATAATGCAGAAGGCAAATTTTGTGTATGTGTATATGACAATAAAAATGTTTTCTGGTTTCTAAACACAGTGACCGGTTATGTGTTTCCACATAAACACAGTGAACGCTCAGTGACTGATTATCTGTGGTGATGAGTTATTTACACACGTTACAATATTCAACCAGTTTCACTGCTTATGTTAAAGTACTTTAAGTAGTTGGTGAAATAATTAGCTAAACTTAAGTTTAAATATAAAGGAAAAAGTGTTAAAAAGCTCAAAGAAAATGTTTGAACCATCCTTTATATTTAAACTTAAGTTTAGCTAATTATTTCACCAACTACTTAAAGTGTTTCAGGCATTTATCCATAACTTAAGAAGTACCACCTGTACATGTACACCTGCAGTACAAGTACGCCTGTTTGGGCATCACGCCTCTGTTAGAAGGTGATTAAACAGTCACAGTGTTTATTTACTTTAACTTCAGCCGTGTTCTGAATGGAGGACTTTGACGTGTAACAGAGTACTTTAACATAGTGGTATTAATACTTTTACTGAGTACTTCTTCCACCACACCTACAGTTTGTCAGAAGCTCCGTTGGAGACTAAAGCAAACACACGTGATCATGAATCGAACACACGCGATAAGGTGTTGACGGATGTTTCTGGTTCCTCTCCTTCCAGAACATTCGGTATCGGATGAAAGTGACAGAAGGCTCTTTAGTTCCTGACGGTCTGGTTTAGTTTGACCAGTCGGTGAATGTTGTCAGCCGCAACATATATGAACAATAGAATAACAACTATGAAGTGTAACAGAATAAGACTGACTCCATTATAAAATAGAACAGAGTGACAATAAGAGTAAAGTAAATAAATACAGTTAAAAAAATCAACTGAGATAGATAACAAATAAAATGAATAAAGTGTATAAGAAGTGATTGTAACAGCAGAGCCCGATGGACACCAAGATAGAAAAGTCATATTGAGCTTCATGTTGAGAGAGAATTTGTTAATGATATTAAAAAAGTTGTAAAAACATCCTCGTTCATTTTCTCCTCTCATTTTGATGCAAACTGTTTTGGGTTTAATTTAGTCCAATTTGTGTTATTATTATTATTACTATTAAACAGCAGTGACAGGAGTTATTATTATTATTATAAAGTACTTTTACTTGTAATACTTAATAAATAATACTTGTGTGAACAAACTTCCTGAGTTCTGCTTAAAAAAATATTAAATTCACTTTTCTTTCCAGTACATTGGTGACATAACTTATTTTTTATCTCTTTCTTCATGTGATCACAAGCTTTATTCTGTCTTTTAATTTTCTCTTAAATTTAATTTCTTTCTAATTTTAACTGCTTTTTGTTTTTATGATATTTTAAACTTATTGGTTCTGTTTTCTAAACGTCTTATGTTGAACATGTTTTCAGTACTTTGAACTACTTCCTGTCTGAATGGTGCTCCATAAATAAACTTCTCTTAAAAGGAGTCAGATAAAAGTAAAAAGTACAACTCTCTCCTGTGGAATGAAGAACCAGTGAAGTAGAACTGTGACATGAAATGGAAACTCTACGTAAGCGGTTCTTGTGTAGATTAGAGAGGTGACATGACTGGTGTGGAACAGGTGAGCTGGTGGGCATGTCTTTGAACAGGTGTGTGTGTGCTGGAGGAGGAGGAGGAGGAGGAGGAGGAGGAGGAGGAGGAGGAGGAGGAGGAAGGTTATTTATGCCTCTGCAGACCTGATGATGAGGACTTTTCAGTCATGGCTCTCTACAAACTGATCTCTGTGGCCACTCTGCTGACTCTGCTGACACCAGGTAAGACCCTCCTCACCGCACACACCTGAACCAATCACGTTAGAGACCCGCTGACCGAGGAGGAAGTAAGAATATTTGAATTAATGAACAGGGCTAAAAGTATCACATGTGCAAATCCTGTGTTTAAAATTCTACTTTTTACAAAATAGTGGCAATAAAATGTAAAATGTAAAAACCAAAGTGCTCAGAGAACCCTGAGTCCCATTTATATGAAAATAATAAAGGATTAAACTCATGAATATGATCAAATCTAGGAGAGAAGAGAACAATAAAGTTAGTAAAGTCTGTCCAGGTTCTCTAAAAGTCTTTCTGGAGCTTCAGGAGCTTGTTAAACCAGGTTTATCTGAGCCTGATTATTAAACGTGTCTGGAGGGCATGAAGTGATAACAGCTCATTTTGTTCAGAGCTCGTTTCCTGTCGGTGTTTGTCAGCTTTAAAACTAAAACCACAGCAGCAGCTTCACGTTTTTAAGCGATTTATTCAGAACTTAATAATAAAAGATGGGAAGAAATCATTCTATTTTTTTTAAAACTTCATCCAATTTTCTTCAAAGGTCTGCTTTAAAATAAAAGTGGTTTATTACTGAAATTCTACATCAATAGTGTAATTTTTTTGTTGCAATTTCTTTCCTCATTTATTGCAGTTTTTTAAGATAGAATGTGATTATGATGGATGATGTGGAGCTTGTGATCACATGATGAATGTACTGTTTACTGTACTGATTACATGGATTTAAATGAGCTTTAAGTTGCTCCACAGCTGAGATTGTTAAGTGTGCAGAAAGCCTCTTTTACTTGTACTTTGACGATTAAGGACTCTGTGGTTCAGTGACCAGGTATCATTAAAAACACATTCAAATGTCATTTGATCCTTCAAGGATCTCAAACCTTCTTCATCTCTTCAGTTTGTCACTTCCTAGTTTTAAGAGTTTTTGTAACTTAAGGGATATTTGTGGTTTAAACTTCAGCGGTTTTCGGGTGTTTCTATTCAGAGGTATATGTGGGCAGACTACAGTCAAAGAGGATGTTTGTCGCTGTAAAAAGAGACTTCCTTCATCACTGTAGGAGGGTTTCAGGTAAACACGGAGCCACACCTCATTAAGTCCCTGATGACGAATCATTTAGAAAAGAAGAATATCTGGCTGAACAGGTATATGCTTTATGCTGTTGGTATGAAAACTCACATAGTCTCTGATCAGTTGATCATTGAACAGCTCCACTGAAGATATTTAGTTTCTCTTAATCTCCTCAGTCACCAGGGTGTATTTGAAATGTTTCCTCTTCCCAAAACAAAAAAACTTCTTGACTTTAAAGGGGAACTACAGAGATGTAGTGACGCGTTCACTGACTGTTGTGCATTCTGACTTGTGTTGCATTTGAACGATACGTTCACTGACTGTTGTTTGTGCCAACATGCATGAAGTCATCCTGATAATTCTTAATACAACTGTAGTAATAACACTAGCGGCAGTAACAGTAGTACACTAATACAACTGTAGTAATAACACTAGCAGCAGTAACAGTAGTACACTAATACAACTGTAGTAATAACACTAGCAGCAGTAACAGTAGTACACTAATACAACTGTAGTACTAACTAGCAGCAGTAACAGTAGTATTGTAATACAGTACTAGTAGTATAAAGCAAAGGTATTTTGGATTGTCTGAGGGTGACAGATTTAAACAGTCAGAGATCATTATCCATCCATCTGTCTCTGACAGAGAGGAATGTCCTAACTGTCTCACATACCTCTCTGTCTCCGTCATCTCTCGTCTCATCTCGACGTTTACACACAAAGTGACTCACTTTCAGAGACGTATGTCTCTGTGTTTCCTGTCTGTAGAAGTGGACTATGTGGGTGGACTTGAGGCGTGTTATCGAGCACATAGACAGATCCCTCGAAACAAAAAAGACGTATCATCAATCACATGTCTGACTTTTTGTGCTTTTCTATAGTCAATATTTGAACACAGGCTATGTTGACACAGGCGATGTCACATCATTTGATGTTTACCCATTCCCACTGAGGCGTTAGTTTGACAACCGCTATGTTTTAATTATTGTTTATTATCTAACATGAAATGTACACTGAAAAAAAAAAAAAAGTGACATTTACTTGAAAAAAGCTAGGTAACAATTTGCACTCAGAAATTCCGAGTAATTTTTACTCAGGAATTCTCAAGTTAAGTTTACTTACAATTAAGAATTGTTTTTTATCCAAAATTTTCAAGTAACTTTTACTTGAAAATGTCTTCCTTAGACATAAAATGTACTTAGCCTTTGATAGTAATCTTTACTTTAGGAGGTTTTCCAGGCACGTCCAACTGGGAAGAGACCCCGGGGAAGACCCAGAACACGCTGGAGAGATTACATCTCCCAGCTGGCCTGGGAACGCCTCGGGATCCCCCAGAATGAGCTGGAACATGTTGCCGGTGAGAGGGAGGTCTGGGTCGGCCTGCTTGACCTGCTGCCACCGCGACCCGACCCCGGATAAGCGGTGGAAAATGGATGGATGGATGGAGTAATCTTTACTCAGGCTACCTTTGCATCTAATTACAAAACCCCAGTAAAACTCAATTAGGTGTTTCATGTATATTTAACTAGCTTTTCTTTACTTTTTCAATTGAGAAATATTAAGTAATATTTACACAATATATCTTTTATCTACTACTACTCTACACAACTGTTCAAATATGAATGTTGCATTTCTTTTAAACTGGGCTACTGTTAATTTAATAAAATTGTCTTAACATAAGGCTTCTACAAAACATCTTTTAAACTACAGCAGCTTTACTTGTTAACTGGTGAAAGAGGTCACTGCTGACAGACACACACAAATACCAACATATATAATCTGGTTGGCATTGCCAGACAAAACATTTCTAAATCAGTGCTGCCAATAAGAAATTTAAGAACACAAACGTTTAGTCATTTAACAAACACTTAATTTGAAACGATGGGTATTGCTTGACAACACTTAGATACACAGATGAAGCCCATGAGCAGAAGGCAAGCCTTTGCCACACTTTGACAGTCATCAAGAACCTCTTTTCCCTCGATGACGACGAACACATCGTCAGGAGTGAAGCCTTTCTGTGTTGCATTTCCATGGATGACAAGGATCTTCATGACATGTTGAGCATAGTCCTCTTCAATGACTTCTTTGAAATTCAAATTTACTAATGTTCACTTTTACATCTTCGAGTCTGATGTGTTCTCAAAAAAATGACGATAGTGGGAGAAACAAACAAAAATATTGAATGTGTTCAAATGCGTCATTATGCATCTATTCTCAGTGTATATGAGCCCAACATAATTTTATATAATATTAGATATCTAAACTTTACCAGGCTGGGTGATTCCAGCATGGGTCTTTGTTCCTGCAACTCCGCCCTTTGTCCCAAGTATCTCCAGAAAGTTGGTCGTGCAATTGGCCAATTTCGACAAAAAGTTTCGCTCCAGATGAACTGTGGTTATTCTTCTGAACTCCTCATTGATCTGAAACAAAAGACAATAAAAAACATGATCAAGATGAGGTACCTTGCTAAAACAATTCATGCAGTAGTCCTCCCAGTATAATGTAATATTCACAGCAACACAAACTACGACTTCAAATGTATATGTCAAGTTAATTAAACTATAACAGTACTAAGTTGATTTTACCTTGTGTCAACTGTTGATGTCAACTTGCTGAGAGTGAACGTCCTTTAATATTCTGAAATATATAAAGAAATGATATTAAAACATGAACACACAACATTAAATCTGAATTTGGCTTAAATCTTCATATTGATAGTGGGCTTCACAAAACCCAAGTAATTCCCCCTCCCCCTCGTCGACGGAGCGCAGCTGGTCGAGCACCGTGTCCCCAGGCCAACAACCTGTAACCCTGTAGAACCCTGTAAAATCGTGACCAAAACCACCAAAAACATGTCCACAAAATGTAGCGCCGTGAGCCATGTCTGTAATGCTGTCCCTAGTTAGCTAGCATGATAGCCTAACTAGCTAGCACGCTAAACTGAGCAGTTCGCTACTCTTCAGTGTTCACAACTCAAACGCAGACTTGACCGAAGGCTCAACAGCAACGTAGAGCATTAATTAAACATATATCCATCCATCCATCCATTTTCCACCGCTTATCCGGGGTCGGGTCGCGGTGGCAGCAGGTCAAGCAGGCCGACCCAGACCTCCCTCTCACCGGCAACATGTTCCAGCTCATTCTGGGGGATCCCGAGGCGTTCCCAGGCCAGCTGGGAGATGTAATTAAACATATAACCTACCCCAATGGCTCCCGTCCATGAAGTTCCTCTCCTCAGGTGAAACGCTGCCGGCCTTGTTCAGGTTCTGCTGTTCCGTCGTCTCGTTGAAGAAAGGAGCGCGAAATCTCCTCTGACGTCACCCCCTGAGTACGCGCTATAGGTTGCCAGGTTTTACTCGTATTACCCAAGTACATTTTACTTTGATGTGTCAGGTAGTGCATTCAATACAGTAGTTTAGTAGATATTACTTAGTGTGAATGATTAAAATGTACTTATAAAAATGAGGATACATAATTACAAACAAACACCAAGTAACACATTAAATAAAAGGTGATATTTTAAAGTAAAAGCACTGGAATGATAATTTCTTGTAAAATTTACAAAAATAATCGAGGTAATAATTACAGGGCCAAAAAGTCTTTTTTTCAGTGTAAGAAGAAGACTGTGTGGCTCTACCGGCACTTTCTTCTCTGCTGGTTTGTCCCCAATGAACTTTAATTTGAGTAGAACATAATACCAGGTAACACACATGAAATACACAGTATGTATATATGTATATAAATAAACATGACAACAGAAAATAAATACATAGATATTGAATTTAATAAATGAATAATCAAATTCAAAAATTTGAAAAGTAGAAAAAGTCCTCCGTAGCTCTGGATGAAACATTCTGAAAGAGTTGCATTATGGGAAATGTAGGATCACTGTGCTTTTGGAGTTTGACCCATTCTAGAGACTAAAGTCGGGATATCTCCACCTCGTGGTTTTTTCAATAATTTAATACAATAAATTGAATAATTTTAATGAATATAAGTAATATAGAAGTAATAGTAAATGGGCGACAGTAGTCTTTGAAGAGTTATTATTTAAAAGTAAATGCCTCCAGCCTCTGAGTTGTGGATACTTGCTGTTTTCGTTTCCTTTACCTTTTCTTTGTTTTCTATTTTTCAGAGTGTCACTCACAACTTACTGGTAAGTCAGCTTTATGTTTTTCTTTACTTCCTTTCCACCTGTCAACATGCTGATGGGACTTCTGTTGTTTTGTTCGTAGTTTCATTGTCGTTAGTATTTCAGATGAATTATGAAATGAGAGTAACTGTTGGATTAGACCTGAGATCATCAGTCCCGTCAGGAGGCACGGCGGTGCTGCTCACTGTGTCCGTCTGTCTTCAGTGTGCGGTCGGCCTCTGCTCAACACCAGGATCGTTGGGGGCCAGGCGGCCCCTGAGGGAAGCTGGCCCTGGCAGGTCAGTCTGCACAAATCTGGGAGCCACTTCTGTGGAGGATCGCTCATCAACAGTCAATGGGTGCTGACTGCTGCTCACTGCTTCCCAACGTGAGCACCGAGACCAGAGCACATTCTACTGGTTTTTGATTTCCCCTGAAGGGCTCTGCTTTAATGTTCTGTTCTGTGTCTCTTCAGCCCCATCCCCAGCACCCTGGTTGTGTACCTGGGTCGCCAGAACCAGCAGAGCAGCAACCCCAATGAGGTGCAACGGACGGTGACACAGGTCATCAATCACCCCGGCTACAACTTCGGGACCGATGACAACGACATCAGCCTCCTGAAGCTCTCCTCACCGGTGACTTTCACCAACTACATTTTGCCCGTCTGCCTGGCGGCTCCAGGCAGCAGATTCCACAGCGGAACCGACTCCTGGGTCACCGGCTGGGGCAACATTGGATTTGGAGGTGGGTCAGAGAGGTTCTCAGAGATAGCGTGACGGTAACGACTAAAGATCATCTTTTCATTGGCTGGAGGAAAGTTAAAGTTCACTCAAGTGTTAAAGGTATTATCCTCATGAAAAATGTAAGAAGCCATTATTTTATATTTATTTTAAATTGTTTAAACCCATCTGTGCGTTCCAACAGCCATTCTACCAGACTGTTTAGTCTGCCAAAAATAGATTCAGTAAGCTTTGAAGCATCCCCTGCTTTATGGTCTGTGTGACTCTAAATGGACCATAATGTACTACATGAACATCATGCTGTACCCCTGAAAAAGGCGGATAAATAATCACGAGAGTGATATGATGTTTTTCCTCAGCAAGAACTTTACTGCAATGAGGAAAAGATCGCGATTTCCCCGAGATATGTGGGTGGAGACCAAAGCAATCGATCTCAGACTCAAGATCAAGACCACTATGTAATCACAGTTTAACACTACGTATCTCAAACTACACAATTCAGAACAAAGCAAACGATGCAAGAAAACACAATCTTATTATTCCAACCATGTATTCATGTGTGATGAGTTTTAACTCGTGGTTTCAGTAAATCGTCAAGTTATCTATGAATGATCCTCTCAATCACATTACATTCAACACAATAGACCATGAAATCACTATTTTCCTTAATTTATAAAAGTGCATGTTTTCCAACTTGTCACACTGTATTGAAGAAGACTTGAAACTAGAGATTGAGACCATAAACTCATGTTTACAATGTTTACTGAGGTAATAAATCAAGAGAGAAGTAGAGTCATTTTCTCATAGACTTCTATACAACCAGAGGAGTCGCCCCCTGGTGGACACTAGAGAGAATGCAGCTTTGACACATGAAGCTTTGGCTTCTCTTGTCAGAACCGGAGGTTGTCTCCTGAGGATAAATAAACAAAAGATTGCTCCGTGTAGCCCTGCTAGCGGTCAGAGAGTCTATAGCTTTAAAAGTCATGTGCTGTTTATTGAACTGTATCTGTGTCTCTTTAGTGCGCCTTCCGTTCCCACAAACCCTGATGGAGGTGGAGGTGCCAATCGTGGGGAACAGACAGTGTAACTGTGACTATGGAGTGGGCAGAATCACAGACAACATGATCTGCGCCGGGCTCCGTGCTGGAGGGAAGGACTCCTGTCAGGTGATCATCTTCACTCAGGTCTTTGGGTCACACTTGACCTCCTGCACAGGTTCCCTCTCCTGAATGTTTCTCTGCTTAAAGGGGGACTCGGGCGGTCCGCAGGTGAGCAAGCAGGGCGGAGTCTGGATCCAGGAGGGAGTCGTGAGTTTTGGAAAGGGTTGTGCCTTGCCTAAATTCCCAGGAGTCTACGCCAGAGTGTCCCAGTACCAGTCCTGGATCAACGCCGAGATCACCAGCAATCGGCCGGGCTACGTCACCTTCACGTCCAGCGGGACCGACAGTGACCTCAATGTCACCTGTGCTGGTCTGCCACCACCACCTCCAACCACCGTCCCTCCAACCACCGTCCCTAAAACCACCGTCCCTCCAACCACCGTCCCTAAAACCACCGTCCCTCCAACCACCGTCCCTAAAACCACCGTCCCTCCAACCACCACGGCCAGACGTGAGTCCAGACGTTAAACACTGGTTAAACTTCCTATTTTTAACTTTTAAAGATGTTTTCAGACAAGATTAGCTTCAAATGTAGTTCAAGTAAAAGTGTTGATTGATCATTAACATGTTTTACTGTTATATCTGGTGTTACTGGATGTGTACCTCTGAGATGTAGTACAGTAACAAGTACAATATGAACCTCTGAGATGTAGCAGAACATGGAAATACTCAAGTTAAGCACAAGTACACTTATGTGTACTTGAAGGGACAATTGACCACCAATCACCTGAAGTGTCTGGATGGTTCCAGTGTAGATGTCTGTCTTCTCTCCAGTAGAAATGAATAAGATGAGAGGAACCATAAACTCAGTAAATGTAATTGTTCCTCCAGCGGTGGTCTGTGGCCGAGTCCCGGTGAACTCACGTATTTTGGGGGGCAGCTCCGTGGCGACGGCGGGCATGTGGCCTTGGATGGCGAGCCTGCAGAAGAATGGAAGTCACATGTGTGGGGGGACTCTGGTGGGCGTGGACTCTGTGTTGAGCAGCTCCAACTGCTTCTCCAGGTGAGCCTGACACCTGGAGGGAAGTCCTGGACGGTGTGGTTCTGTTTAACGTAAACAGGAAATGACCAGGTTGTTTTTAAACCAATCAGAATTGATTTTTAATCCCCCCCACAGCTCTCCCACGCCGTCTGACTGGACCGTTGTGCTGGGTCGGTTGAAGCAGAATGGATTCAACCCCTTTGAGGTGATGCTGAAAGTGAGAAATATCACCTTGAGCAACCTGACTGGGTCCAATGTCGCAGTGCTGAAACTGGCATCCCGACCCAGCCTGTCCGACTACATCCAGCCCGTCTGCATGGACGACGGTCGGACCTTCTCCGTGGGCTCCACGTGCTGGGCTGCGGGCTGGAACTCCGGGCGAGGAGGCGGTGAGTCCAGAACCATGCTCCGCATCGCTTCACCTCTCCAGATTAAATCAGTTAGTCCGGGTTCCTGCCCGTCTGGGTTTTGATTTCAGATGTCTCTAACGGTTTCCTTGTTTTGTTTCATCATCAGAGGAAGAAGTTCTGCAGGAGTTCCAGACCTCAGTGGAGGATTGTGGGAACGCGTCATCGTCCAGTGACAGCATTTGTACCGGACTGTTCACACTGGAGCAGGTGAGAAACCAGAGCAGGAGGTTCTGAAGATAATTCTGTCTTTATTTGATATTGAGTCACGGAGAGTGAGAGAAAGACATGCATCAGGGGTCGTAGGTCGGATTCAAACCTTTTCACATACTATGTATGTTCCAATACATAGTATGTCAAAAATACCAGGATGTTCTTCTGCATCCAATCACACAGCATGCTTTTCTGACCCACAATCCTTTGCGCAGCAGATATTTGAGCCTAGACTGTAAATATAAAGTGAACGTAGTCGTCTTGACGTCACACATTGATTTGTGGACTGACGTTATAAAGCAACCAGTGAACAGGAAGTGACCATATATGGACTGAGGAGGAGTGACGTAGAGACGCCGTATACGTCTCTGATTGAGACCTGTCAATCACCATGTAGCCCCGCCCTAAAGCATCCCCTGCTTTATGGTCTGTTTGACTCTAAATGGACCATCATGTACTAAATGAACATCATGCTGTATTGAAGAAGACTTGAAACTAGAGATTGAGACCATAAACTCATGTTTACAATGTTTACTGAGGTAATAAATCAAGAGAGAAGTAGAGTCATTTTCTCATAGACTTCTATACAACCAGAGGAGTCGCCCCCTGGTGCACACTAGAGAGAATGCAGCTTTAGGACACATCCGTATGTACTACGTTTCCCGTCTCTCCTCTATCAAATAAAGACATTAAAAATGCCCCCAAAAATCTTTTATGCTTTCACTTTCTTGTCAAGCTAATGTTGAACGTGTGTGTGTGTGTGTGTGTTTAGGGTGACTCTGGAGGTCCGATGATGTGTAAGCTGGACGGGTCCTGGTTCCAGGCAGCAGTGTTATCATCTGAAAACGCCACCAGTCAAACACGAGTATCATCAGTGAAGGTCTTGGTCAAACTGAGCCGCTTCCAGAGCTTTCTGTCTCAGACGGTGGGCTTCTTATCTTCCAACACCAACACCAACACCACAGCGCCCACCAACGTGACCTCCCCCACCAGCGGGGGAGCTCCTGCTCACTGCCCCTTCCTCTTCCTCATCCTCCACCTCCTCGTTTTCTCCGTGTGTCTCCACCTCTTCGTGTAGAAAACCACCTTTTAACTTCTGTAAATAGTTGTTTACATGACGTGACGAGCACAAATCAATGCAAACAAGCGGGAATTTCAGAGACAATTTAGCTGAAAGTGGCATGAATAATCTTGGGAATAGAGTGGTGAAGCTGGCCGGGTTCAACCACACATCCAGGGTTCCCATCGAGTTCATTTTCTCCATCAGACGACGACAAATCAGCAGCAGAGATGCTGAAAAACTGTCTCTTCTTCTGGTAAAACAGACAAAACTGTGTCAATAACATCTTTAAGATAGAAACATTCTGGTCCACTAACTTAATAATGCGAACGCTCATTCAGGATTCAGCTCCATCGTTAAAAGAGATCATCTTTAAGATCTTCATGTTCTTCTCTAAGCAGTAAATGTCACCACAGGAAATACAGTTCATTATACTGGAAATACATCAGATCACCTCATTCAGTGATTAGATTGTCACATAACAGAGATTTATTTAAAGGAAAATCTGACATTATTAACTCAAGTCAGCCCTGGATATTAACAATAGAAACCAGAGATTTTAACTCAATATGTTTTCTTTTAAATGTACCAGAGCACCAGGATGAGATAATAATTATACAAGATGATTGGATCGTGTTTCTGCATCAATCTGAGGAATTCTCCTTTTTTGTTTGGTGCATAACAGTAAACGTATAAGAAAGAATAAAAATAAAGCCAAATACTGCACAAGTCCAGAAATGTATTGTAAATAGAAAAATACTATAAATAATATGTGCAATATATGCGTTTAAAATGAAAGAGCTGGAGAGCTTTGTGCAGGAATGAGAGAAATATGAATGGATTCTAAAGGACAGTGCAATGATGGAGATAATGGTCCTGAAGATAATGTAGCGTGTTTTGGTTCAAAGGGAACATTAAAACTTTACTTTGAAGGACAGTAACCTCCAGCCGACGCCACTACTCTGTACTGTACACTGTATACATGAAGACAGGAAGCAGCTGAAAGCTCCACTTCCTGTTTGTTCTACCGAGACATTCTGGTCTGAAATGAAGAGTTCCTTGAAGCCGCACTGATCAAACTAATATTAATATGTATTCTAGTAGGTTTTGGAAGCTACGGGGACCATAAGAACTGTTTTATTATTATTATTATGTTTAAATCAATACAATGAAGAAATGTGCGAAATCTTTGTAATATATCATTTGTACCTGCTGATGAATATCTCATCCATTTACAGAACAAAATGACCTAAGTGCCATTAATTATGGATCAAATCCTCATTTTAGGGCATAATATCTGACACGTGCTCTCAAAGGACCATTTCTCTTTGACATAAAACACTAAGATGGTTCTTACTGATTACAGTGATTCACTGTCATCAAGTCTTTTATATGTTGTAGATCTGAAGAGCATCTACCTCATATCATCAGGGAGCTTCTGCCCCTTAATGTCAAAATCTATCACAAACAGTATTTGCTCGACAGAAAATACTTCAGCTGCACTTTAAACGCATAATTATTTGGTTTGAACACTAAATGACGAGTCTTGCCGTGAAACTCTTGTGTCCTTTAAATGTGAAAGCACTTAATCTGTTTTGTCTTTTTGTCACAAAAACCTTTTGAAATGAAGTGAGCGTCCTCGTCTTCCTCTTCATGCTGCGAGCACACCTTTTATTTCTGATGACAGACTATGAATATTGGTCTTTAATTGTTTTGGTTAATATCATCAAAATTAAAAGACATGCAGAGAAAATGTTTGTGTTTTTTTTCTGGTATGTTTACAGCTTCAGACACTCAGTGGTCAGTTTATTAGGAACACTGAGCTGAAACTAATGCCGTCGTCCTTTATGTTCAGTGATGTTTCATTTAAAACTTTGAAAAACAGAAGTATGAGCTGCTCACCTGGTAGAGTACACCATTACAACATGTTCAACATGTATTCACATTAAAGTATAAGTCTATAGATATTCTATATTTTATTTTAGTCAATAAATTCCATGAAAAGAACACAAACTAACAATGAAGTAATGCTAAAACAAACCCCGCCTCCTGCCCCAGATACTCACTGCTAGAGCACCAAATGTGGATCAATCCGCTGCTGAAAATAGTCCCCAACAGCACTATTTCCTCCTGATGTTTGACACGGTGACCAGCTGTTTGAGGAGATTACTGAGACTTTTGTTCAAAATGAAATAAAACATTTGTTTGTTTTTCCATCTTTAAGATGTAGCCGGAACCATTTGGAGCTAAGAGCCACAGACAGGAAGTCAGACGGTATTGAGAGACGGACAAACACGTTGGTTTGTCTCTGCAGATCTTTTGACAATGAGAACAGAAAGTAACGAGAGTCTACAGCTTCAAGCTTTAATATAAGACACATCCAACATCAGAGAGCAACAGAAGCAGGTCCACTTCCTGTTCCAGAGATCAGACAAAAGGCCTCTCGTGTTCACACTGAGGGGATTGAATACAAGAGTATTGTGTTCTCAACAAATGCACTTCTTTCTGTAAGTTGGATAACATTAGAGAAAGTACAGCGGCTTCAACCATGTTGGACTGTTTACATATATATTTTAGATAATATGTGAATAAGCCTGTTAAAGGGAGCGTCCATAATGAACTATGGTATTTCTAATATCTCCTGGTGTTTGAAACATTACATCAATGTGATGAAGTACTTTGATTTATCAGGTTCTTCATTTACTAGACCAGCCAAAAAAACTAAACATTTCCCGTCTGGTTAATTGATCACAATATATATTGCTATAGATATGGAAACTGTCCTCTTTAAAGATGGTGAACCAGAGCAGACTGAATACTTTGACTCAGGCTTCAACACGTGAGAGCCTGCTCTGTTCAGCACATTTAAAAACGGCAACAAACCCGTTTACAGTCTTTTATTAAAGGGGAAAGGTCAGTCCTGGTCGAGTCATTCCTCTGTGAACTCTCTTCATAAAGACACAGTTTAGAAAGCTGGAGTAGGTGTCGTCCAGCTGATGGGAGCAGCTCCATCCTGCTCTTCTACTTGATCCTGATCTCAAAGCAGAGGCAGTTACAGGACTCACACTCCGGAGGCTGACAGGTGCAGGCACAGTCCCATTTCACACACTGTGGTAAACACACACAGCAGACAAGAGCTCACTACAAACCATGTGATCAACCTGACGCAGCCTGACCACAGAGACGTGACGATAGACAAGATATTACAGCACACACACGCCCGTTCAGTTCTGCTCCTACGTACGGGCAACTTTGATTTCAATAACGTGGCAAAGTATAAATGTTGCCTTTGTAGGTGGAATGAGAGAGAGAGAGAGAGAGAGAGAGAGAGAGAGAGAGAGAGAGAGAGACAGAGAGACAGAGAGAGACAGAGAGAGACAGAGAGACAGACAGACAGACAGACCCAGAAGAGTTCCTCTAAACCTCAGGGAGACATTTAAACGTGACACACAGAGTTAATATCCCGTCTGTTAAAGGAACACCTTCAGACTGTAAAAGAAGGTCTGAATGTTACCTCATTTAAACACGTGTTGAAGAGCAGAGACGCTTTGTGATTGATCTTGGTGTTGCTTTGAGAATTTATTTTTGCAGGTTTAACAGCCACAGAATGAATTTGCTCCTCTGTGTTTTTAGTGAAATAAACTAGGTTTAAATTCACTTTGGTTTTAATTCTTCATCAAGTCTTTGCAAGTCAGTGAGACAAGACAAACGCTGTATTGTGTCCAGTCCAGTCCTATTGTGTACAGTCCTGATGTTAAACATCTTCAGTGTGGAGTGACACATGCTGTGACGGAGGTTGGTGGTGTGGAGTGTTGAGAGGCTTCTTACCGAAGGAGAAGGACACGGAACGGACCAACATGAGCGAACGGTCGGCAGGCGACAGTCACACATTTCTGCAAATCTGAAGCAGTGCTCACAGAGAGAGATGTTCGGAGAGCAGCCCCCACAGTCTGCAGAACAACGGTCCTGAGAGAGAACAGACGGAGACAAACAGCTCAACACACTGAAGAAACACACACTTTTCTATGTAGAACTATATGATTGTATTCTCTGTTTAATGATTTTGATAGAATAACACTTTGTAGAACAATAAAAAGTGTGTGTTTAATAAACAGTGATAAATCAGTGATAATAAACTAATCCTATGACCTGAAACAGAACGGATGTGTCTGCTTTGTCTGCTTTCTAACACCAGAGGGAGCCAAAGACAACGTCCACTTCTACATGTGTGCTTCTATGTTCAGTACAAGTTCCTGTGAACATCACATTCTATCTGTTTGACGCTTCACACGCTCTACAAAGGAGAGTGGCCTGCACCACCAACCTTGAGGCAGAATCGGATCCACAGCCCGACCCCGAGGAGGATCATGTAGAGACCCAGAGTGATCATCAGCACCGCTGGCAGAGGGATGGAAAGCTCCCAGATAGGCAACACCTGAGGAGCAGGACCGAGGAAACACAGTATAGTATAGTATAGTATAGTACATCTAACAGAGTACAGCAGAGTACATGTTGGTGGAAACGGGCTCTTTCTTACTTGCATTGTCTCTTTGTGAGAAGACACCTTCAACTGTCACAAGGTTCACATCTCTGGGAGTTCTGAGAGGACAACAGATCAGAGATTAGGATCCTCTAAAGACTCCGTTTATTTTTATACTACGTTAAAATGTTATGTTGAGTATAGCCACTGAGGTACATGTACCTCCATTTGTGTACTGTATTGTGCTTTTTACTCTACAACATTTATGAATATAGTTATATTTCAGATTTGTATTTACATTCAAAACATATGATCTCATAAATGATCATCAGTTCATATTAGCTCTATCTCATTTACATTAATGTATCAATAATTATGATATGATTAAATATAGCAATCTAATACTCTGCACAATCAGTACTTTAAGTAAATTTGAGTTATTGTAGCATCATCACATCTCCATCATGTCTGTCTCACCCTCCTGTCCTTCTGTCTCACTAGTATTCTAACTTTTTACCTTCATGTGTTCACATTGTACTGTTGTACTTGTACGTGTTATGTTACTGCGTGGTTTCTATTTTGTGAGTTGTTGTTTTGTTTGTTCTTTATTGTTACTGCAGCTGAACCAACGGCCTCTTGGGGACAAATAAAGTCTTTAACTTGAATAACTTCACTTTAGTAAAACTTTAACTTTATAACTTCAACGTGTGATGGAGTGATTCTATTCTGTTGTGTTCCTACCTTTACTTAATAAAATGATCAAAGTTAAATACATTTATTTTCTACCACTGAGTAAAGCGTCTACACGATATTACAAGTACTACATGCCAGTTGTGGAATCTAACTAAGTACATTTACTGAAGTACTGAAGTACACATTTGATACATCAGATAGAATAGGAAAACATATTACTGATCAATCAATACTTTTACTTCAAGTATATTTTGATTGTGATACTTAGATTTAAAGGAACTTCAGTCAGGATTTGAATGAGGACTCTTTTACTGGTAGTACATTCACAGTGTGGTATTGTACTTTTACTGGTAGTACTTTCACAGTGTGGTATTGTACTTTTACTGGTAGTACTTTCACAGTGTGGTATTGTACTTTTTCTGCAGTAAAGGATCTGAATACTTCTTTCAATACAGATTATACTGAGACACTTACATTTCTGGTTCACTGGTAGAACATTTAGCATGAAAGATGAACGTAAATAAGTATATTTTATATCATTATTATTATTATTTATCTGCCTGTTTCACATCGTAATGATGAATCCTGTTGCTTTTTAACGGCCCTGAGAAATATAAACGTTCATACATGTGATCCTTGAGTGCTAGTTTTCTTTAGTAGAAACACAACAATGCTAGCTAGCTAGCTAGGAGCTAACAGTGCTAACAACATCTTACCGCTCTGAAGGGTCCTGTATTCTCATAAGTGTGCCGTGTGCAACAAACATAAACGCTGCTATAGTTGCCGTTAAGTCACATCATCTTGTTTTATACGTTAATTGTACAAAAAGAGCATTTTTCCGATGAAAACAAACGGGATTAGCTAACGTTAGCTGTGGCGGCACCAGCGTTGTTGCCATGGAATCAGACTCGGAAGGGTCCTCAGAAGGGACAAAATAAGAAGCGCGAAGGGGAAAATAAACTCAATGCTCGTGGTGATTTTAAGTTAATACATTTAGTACATTTAGTAGTACTCAGAGCCTTTACTTACTTTAAAACTACAAATACCTCAGTTTGTTGTTTATTTTCAACATTGTGCAATATCAATATATTATAAAAACATTCTAATAAATCACCTCTAGCCAAATCAATCACACAACTATATCTCTGTTGGTTGTTTGTTTAAATCTTTGCACCATTGTTTATATTAATATTATTCTAATTTATTGTAAATATTGTGTATTATTATATTTAATATTTTCTATTAACATCTATTATTTTTCTACTTCCATCGTTTTTTTATGTACAGTGTTATTATTTTTTATTGTTTTTTTGGTTATGTTCCTGTACACGATGACGTCAGATTTCCAGTAAATGTTGAGAAATATTAGGGCGTGGTAGCAAACGGCGACGACCCTTATCGTACGTCAATTACGTAATGACGTTAGTTTCGGGGGCGGGGCTATAAAGACTTGTTTCCCGCTTACAGACGACTCTTTCGTACGTGTTACGTAATGACGTTGGTTTCGGGGCGGGGCTATAAAGACTTGTTTTCCACTTACCAGGCTCGAAAGAAGCTCCATTTTGTTTGAGCCGTCGAAGCAGAGCCGAGCACCGTCCACCGAAAAACCTAGAAACGATAAAAAAGGTCAAAGTCAGCCGACGAACCGCTCGCTAACCAAGTTATTATCCGAAAGGAAAGCAAATCTTATCGTATGTCCGATATCCAGAACCTCCAAACTTTTGGTAAGTCGTCATAATAATCAAACTGAACCTGGCAGACTGAGGTGGGGGAAGGGCGCGCACCGGCTAAGCTAACGGTTAGCTTCTGACTTACGGGGAGGTTTTTATCGGCTTTGTTGATTATTTATGACAAAACGTTTGCTCCTCAAAGCAATCGATTCGACGTACATGTGTAACTTGTAACGAAATTAAAAATGTAACTGTATTTCTTGTTGGGTCATTATTAGCCGACTGGCAGGCCTTCTGTCGCCATTAGGCCTGAAGTGCGCTAGGTTAGCTTGTTAGCTTATTCTTCTGACGCGTTGGCGTTAAGACGAAAATGGCCGCTGGAAAACTAGCATTTCTTTTTACACAGTTATACTTGTGAGGCTTGGATTCACGATCCTAAACATAAAAAGTTGACATGTCATGACTAGTAATTCACGTACAATTCCGGTTGGTAGCTGAACTGAGCTAACTACCTATCTAACTAACCCAACGCTGTATATTTAGTTTCGTGCGCCTGCGCAGTTTATCCGAGAAAATGTCCCCTTCTCTTGGCTCTGCATGTCAACAAAGGGGATGTTTAAAAAGTTATGTGAATTAGTGTATATATGTGACCTGTGTATATTCTTTGTTTAAAGTTTATTGTTCTTCCTGTCTTCTACCTCTCTCCTCCAGACCCCTTTGCTGATGCAACTAAGGGTGATGACCGCCTCCCAGCCGGGACAGAGGACTATATCCACATAAGAATCCAACAGCGGAACGGCAGGAAGACCCTCACCACCGTCCAGGGCATTGCCATCGACTATGACAAGAAGAAGCTAGTCAAGGCCTTCAAGAAGGTAACCGCCAGTCTTAGTTTTGTGGTTTTGTTTTATGGCGTGCTGTTCACCAGATGCTGCTGCGGGGTGGTGGTGGAGATGCTGCAGACACTGACTCGTTGTTTTTGCTCTCTTTGACCCTGGCAGAAGTTCGCGTGCAATGGGACAGTGATTGAGCACCCAGAGTATGGTGAAGTGATCCAGCTTCAGGGAGACCAGCGCAAGAATATCTGCCAGTTCCTCATTGAGGTAAGCTTGTTGTTTTTCTGCTTTGTGTGTAACCGGGCAGACTGGAGCTCATTTCCATTTATTGATCTCTTGTTTCTTCTTTTGCAGATTGGCCTGGCCAAGGAGGAGCAGCTCAAAGTCCACGGCTTCTAGAAGCTGCTAACAGCCTTCTCTCCTAGAAGGCCATTAACCCCCCCCCCCCCCCCCCCCCCCCCTCCTATGTGCTGCTGTTGCCCTTCCTCCCCCCTCTCCCTCCTTGCAACCCCACCAGCTCCCATTAGCTAACACGTGAATTACCTCTGACAAACATGGGATTCTGTAAGCCCCTACAACACCAGGGGGCAGGCTCGCTCTCACAAAGACACACCACTGCAGCTCCACACAACATCAGGGACGAGTGGTGATGACTCAAACCTCCTTGCCCCCTTTTTGTTTATATCCTTTTTTAAATTTGTTTTCTTTTAGGTCTTGTGTCACAAAGAGGAGGCACCGTTTCATGTAACTTTTTGTTTTATACTTCAAGGTGTTTCAATAAAACGTTGAGTCTCCATATGTTGGAGTGTTGTTGTGGGGATGGGGGCTGGGTTTGTACCAGAGGGTCACCTACTTTAACTGTTGGCAGCTGAAGTGGGTGCATTTAGAACAACGGAGGGTCTTTTTTTTTGTTCAGGCATTTTCTGCAGAAGTCAGTCTCTGTAGCTGGCTAACAGAAGAGACTTCCCTCTTCCCGGTCTGGCATCGTTTACACGCCCAGCCGCCTGCTCTCAGGTCACAGAGTAGAGATCGTGTTAAAGTTCTGACCATCTTCGCCACCCGCTCTGGCACATTTGTGTTTTTGCTCTTCGCTTAACGGCACATTTTTCTAACTCATTTCTTCGTTTGTTTTTTGCTGCCAACCCAAGTATTAAACCTAAATGGGCATTCAGTCAGTGGTGGTCTAAACGAGGCCAGTGAGGTTGAAGGCTGAGTCGGTTCCCTTTGTGATCACATGAACCCTCCAGAGTGGGAGTGAAGTCGGATACCGGTAATATTAGTTCAGTTAAAGTGAGTTTAGACGGCGTGAGCTTCCTGCTCTGGCTCCTGACCAGCCTTCTGGTGGTCTAACACATCTGGTACCACAGCTACGGTTATGGACACTTGAATCTTTAATTTTCATATATAATGCAATAATTTATAAAACCTGAGTTAAGACACAGTGATGCTGAAGTAATACAGTAAAAATCAAAGCCATGGCCGTGTCGCACTGCTCCTGTGACTGAGGGTGAAGAAGAGCAAGTCTGTTTTGCAAAATCCACATTTGGTTCAATAAAATGTCTGCAGTTAAAGCATCCTGTTCGTTTGTGGTTTTATTTGTGTGGTGTCGATGTGTCCAGTGAGTCCTCATCACAAACAGTTTTCTGGTTTCAGTGGAAAGTTAATTATGAACAAGAGACCTAAAGGGATTTAGAAAATGTAAGTTGTATTTCTAAAAGAACTCAACCTTATCAAAAGTCAGTAAATATTTTACAAATCTTGTTTTTCACAATTCAATGTGATCCTGGTGTGACTGGAGCGTGGCAGTGTTCTATCAGAATCATACAGATGCTAGAGGCATTAAATAATACATACAATGGGTTCAACGATTTAAAACCTCAGAACAAGTAACTTTTATTAATTAAATCATAATTAATAACTTCCAGGTGCATAAAAGTGATTTTATTTCATATACTACAAACTCATTGAATTATAGTTATGAGATGTAGTACAGTACAAAGTACAGTATGTACTTCTGAGGTGTAGTACAGTATAAAGTACATGTACCTCTGAGATGTAGTACAGTAAAAAGTACTACATGTACCTCTGAGATGTAGTACAGTATAAAGTACATGTACCTCAGATGTAGTACAGTATAAAGTACAACATGTACCTGAGATGTAGTACAGTACATGTACCTCTGAGATTTAGTACAGTATAAAGTACAACATGTACCTCTGAGATGTAGTACAGTACAAAGTACAATATGTACACTATGTGTCTGCGGGGAATCTTTTTACTTCACATCTTTAGTTAACTTCCGAACACATTGAATATGTAGTTAAAGTAGTTAAGATAAGCTCCACCTTCACCTGTTACATTACAATGTAACATCAGAATCAGAAAACGTTCATTGCCGCGGTATGCTGCACATACAAGGAATTTGTGATGGCGGGTGGTGCATCACATTAAACAATCAAAAATCAACACAGTGCAAGAAATAAAAAACAAATTAAATTTATGATGGAAGATAAAATAATATAAAATAAAGTGCACAACAAACCGATAACAGGACTATAAACAAGTATGATGAAGTGTAATGTAAAGTATTAAGTGTGTCTAAATGAAGAAGCAGGGGAGAGACCAGTAGGAGGTTGTCCTGGGGATAGCAGAGACACTGGGGGTCCTGGTCTTAGTTGATGAACCCGACTGAAGACGGGAAAAAGGTGTTCATGTGGCATGAGGTCACATGAACACACAGGGTGATAGAGGGAGTCACGTGATAGAGGGACTCACACAGGGTGATAGAGGGAGTCACACAGGGTGATAGAGGAACTCACACAGGGTGATAGAGGAACTCACACAGGGTGATAGAGGTACTCACACTGGGTGATAGAGGGAGTCACACAGGGTGATAGAGGGACTCACACAGGGTGATAGAGGGACTCACACAGGGTGATAGAGGGAGTCACACTGGGTGATAGAGGGACTCACACAGGGTGATAGAGGGA